CGAACTGCAAAATTCATTGCTCTTCTATTAATGTTACTCAAAAGATGTTGAAACTATAGCATCATTTGCGTAGAGTTATTACTAAAATACTAAGGCAATTAACACTCAAAAATCTAGGACTGGACTAGCAGGAAAAGAAACTTGAAAAGGTTTTTAAAGCTGTTTGTAGGGAGTGAGTGAGTATCTTTGAGACCCATTATGGAGGTCTAGAGAGAATCACAGATAGGATTTCTAACAAATGAATTCTTTTACAAGATTAATAGAAAAGGAATGGAGATATTACCATGGAGTTGATCTTCCAAGGATCCCAGCTCCATGTACTCATAGACAAGAAGCCGCTGATCCCCTTCAGCACAGTATCCAATCATACTGACAAGATTAGGGTGATGGAAAAGAGAAAGCATGAGAACCTCCACAAGGAACTCCTCTTCCCCTTGGTGACCACTCCTATCAAGTTGCTTAACAGCTACAACCTGCTAACAACCATAATTCATGTGATTAACAAGCAACTTGGATGAATAAAAGTTCCCTGGATATTTGACAGGCACAGAAGAATGTACCTGACCAGTACTTCCTAATTGCCCTTTATAAACGGGACCAAATCCACCTCGTCCAATCAAGGATGTGTTTCTAAAACCATTTGTTGCAGTTTCCAGCTCTTGATAGGTAAAAGTCAGAGCTCTATTGCCAGCATTAAGCTCATCTGTGGGAGCTGGTGATTCCCGCCTTGAGCATGTAATGCCTTTTGATCCTACCGAATCATCTCCTGTTTTAGTTCAGGCATAGTTGGATGATCAGCATAAACTGTATCATGCTACTTTGATTAACATGTAAATTTCAGAGATCTTTAAAATTCAATTCCCTTTTGGAGTATAAAAGTGTGCTAAAGAAACAGATTTTGGATCCAAACTACTAGGCTGGGATGTAATAGTTGGCCAACTTTTGGAATCTCATTAGCTGGTCCCAAAACTCTCCAATTTAGTTTGGTTCATCTAGGAAAAGACACAAAGTAAAAAGAAAAGCAGCAGTGAAAAATCCTACAAGTTACTGACTCATAAGATATAGTAAAGAAAAAGACAAGGCAGAATCAACTTAAACTCACACAAGTTCAGTATTAAATCACATCTATCTTGCACGCTGAAGCCACAGATTTATCCCAGCTAAGCCTTAAATCTTAAACTCTTATAGTAGTTCAAGCTAACTCAACTGCTCAAGTGTGCTTCTATCCCATGAAAAACCTAGAAAGTTAAGTTCAATAACAATTCCACAAAGAATTAGCTCTGAAATGCAATCTTGACTGAAATAACAAACTCAATTGTCAATAGCCGAACAGTATCACCATACCATAGCTGATAAAACCCTGCATTATTGCTAGAAATAGCAGCAATGTCGTCTGCAATAGTAGAATTAGGATGAAACTTCATTCTGCTTTCTACCCGGTTGGGTGGAAGGTTTCAATGTATAAATTCAAAAACTTATATCTTGAATAAGCTATTAGCTCCTTAACGCTTTTATAGAACAAAAGGTATTCCACTCATGTAACACATTCAAAAAGGTCAACCTTCCTAACAGAAATTAAGAAACCAAAAGATTCTAAATTGAATAAGCTCAAATCCAAGTAAATGAGAAACACCAATAGTGACTCCATCACAATATGCTTAACATTGCCAAAATTCTATCTACCAAAATCATATTACTCCCAAGATATTGATAACAGTAGCCTAAACAAACTCTTCTTCAAACAAACAAATGGATTAAGTGACCTTAAGTGATTAAAAATCATAATAAACCAAGATCAAAACAAAGAAAAGTAAACTAAAAAACAACAAGACCGAGGCATATCAAACAAAGAATGCAACCAGAACCACAGGAGAGAAACAATTGCATGAAAGAAAGGTAATGGAAGAAACTGAACAGAAGAAAATTGAGGCTTGCATTTCTTTTTAAGTTGTATTTTCTCAGACTCCATCACAATATGCTTAACATTAACAAAATTCTGTCTACTAAATTAACTTTACTCCCAAAATATTGAAAACAGTAGCCTAAACAAACTCTTCTATGAACAAACCAATGGACTATGTAACCTCGACTGATTTAAAAAACCATATTAAATCAAGATAAAATCAAAGATAAGTAAACTGAAAAGAACAACAAGACTGAGGCATATTAAACAAAGAATGCAATCAAAAAACACAGGAAAGAAGCAATGGCATGAAAGAAACTTGCTCCGGTTAAGTTCTTGTTTCTCACCACTCTTCTGCTTCTTCCCTCTCCTCCAACAACAACAAGGGCAAAAACCCATTTGCTCCTGATCAATCAAAATCCAAAAAAGAAAAAGAAGAGAAAGCTTTCACTTTTTTTATTCTCTCTAGTGGAAAAGCTTCGAAACTTAACAACAAGAACTTCACTTGACAATAAAAAAACACTGATCTGGGTTTTGGCCTTCCACGTTTATTTCACGAAAACAAGAATGAAAAAATAGAATCCTAAAGTTTGTCTCTAATTCTTCCTGACGTCAGTTCAGAATGATGATAAAATCATGTATATTATAATGAAAATAATAATAATAATAAAAAAACTCCCAGATTATTTGTTTTTTATTTATTGAATTGCAGCTTTGGGGATGAATTTTAAGTCATAAAAATTAAAAATTTTTAGCTGGGAATCAGGATTTCGTCAGATTTTCTTCCATAACAATAAACCCATCAAGGATTTCCATGTAATCAAGTAAAGCTGCTAAGAAATTTTATTTCTATTCTTGTTTACATCTTTCCTTGCTTGATCAAGAACAGTCAAACTGGGTCCCTTTCATTTATCCATTGTCACTTTTGGCATTCTAGGTGTTTGTTTCGTTGTACGTTAAATACGTCCCATTTGCCTCTTTTGGCAATGGCTTTCTTCGGCATCCTTGCCAAGTTTGAGCTAAACAACTAGTAACAGTTTCTTTTTTTTCTGATAAATAAGGGTTTTGCTAATAATACCCTTAAAATATATTTTTTTTGAACTTGAAGAGATTTAAACTTTACTTTTTAAACAACGAAATGATGTATCAATTAATAAATTAAATATTTAAATGTTATCTTAAAATATTTTTAAAATAGATTAAAATGTTATTTATTAAATATTTATTTATCTAAATATAATAATTGGTAATTAATGAAATGAATTTCAGTACATTGACATAAAATATTATTTAATATTATAATCATCATAGACATTTTTTAACAAAATCTTATAAAAAAATGTGTCACATAATGCTCAAATAAACTCTTTAATTATTCAAGAAAATTCAAATAAATTTTATTCTTTTATTGCGTTTAATTAAATTTTTATATTTTTATTTTGAATCAAGTAAATCTTTATAATTAATGATTGACTAATTGCTATTAATCAAAATATCACTTGTCATTTTATGTCCAGATGACATTAATACAACCTTGATATGAAGAGTGAAAAATATCACATAATTATATTATTATACCAAATTAAATGTAATATCATTATTAATTATGATATATTAACATGACACATTATCATCAATTATAATATGTTAACATGTTATATTAACATCATATAGTATAAAATAACAAATAGCATTTTGACTAAGTCAATCATTAGTTAAAATAAAAATGTAAGGGCTCATTTAAATTTTTTTGAATAGTTTAAAAGTTTTTTTTTTAAATATTATACCAGAATGCGTATAAGAGTATATTTGGATAGAGAGGCCAACGAGTCGAGAGAAAAAGAAAAAGCATAATATCTAAAAAAACTTCTAAATTATTTTGAAAAATTCAAATTAATCATTATACTTTTCATATTTAATTATATTCTTATATTTTTATTTTAAAATAAATAAATTTTTATAATTAATAATTAATATAATCAATATATTATTTATCATTATATATTATATAAGGTCTCTCGTTGAAATTGAAACGTAAAGGGGAATGGGACAGAGCAAAGGATGCATATGAACCCAACTCACTCTTATCCAAAGATTCCAAGTAGCTAAAGTTGGGCATTGAGAGCCCTGTATAGGATCAACGACTAATGGAAAGTAGCATGCCTTGAGCTTCAAGTAAGGGTCAATATTAATCAGTTTCAAATTATTTGATTAATAATGTTTAGTTTTAGGAATTTATCGAAAAATCGATCATTAATATATAATATAAAATATTTGTAAAAAATAATAAAATTGACCAATCAATTGTATATAAGTGAATTTTAAAATATAATTTGATTGATTCAATTATTTATTTATAAAAATTCAATTAGTTCAATTTTTAAATTTTAAAACCGAATCGATTGAATTGATCGAATGTTCACACCCTAATATAAAGATTTGCTATGAAGTTTAGACCTAAGGACAGATTTTTACTGTTCAAAAATAGAAAATTCAAGTTAGATTTATATAAGAGGAAGTTTAAGAAAAATGGAGGGTTAAACCTTTAACCTAATGTTTCTTAAGAAAGAGAACATGAATTGTTCATTAGATCTAATTAATAGTTTACAAATTCAATTAAAAAAAAAAGTTTCTGCCCTTTTAATCAATCACAACCAAATTGTGAAAAAGAATAAGAAAATTCACAAGAAAATAAGGATTTAAATATGAAAATAAAAACAATAAAGTCGAAAGAAAGATGAAGAAGAAGAAGAGAAGAAAAGTACCTCCATTAGAAGCGGTGGCTTAATGACTCTTAGGAACACTGGAAAAGAGAGAGATGTGGCCTTTGAATCCCTCAGCCTCATGAAGGAGCCAGATTGTGCTTTAAAACTGTGAAATATAAGATTTCTTTTCCTTTTAGGACAAGCTGAGATTTGAACCATAGAAGCGTTTAAGGTAAGATTTCCTTGTCTTTCTTCCCTTCCCTTCTCTTTTCTTTTCTTTTGAATATTCAGGAAATATCCTTTTTCTCTCCTTCATTTTCCATCTGTTTACCTTGCTAAAAGGAAAAGAAAATAAAGAGATGCATAGTTGGGAGACACATGATGAAGAGGAATGCTGTGAATAACACTACAGAAAACTTGCACTGAATGAATTGTAGCTTCAGCAACTACACTACAGAAAACTTGCACTGAATGAATTGTAGCTTCAGCAACTACATCTATATGAATGAAACAGTTTTCACAATATTCTTCCTAGACCTACAAAATGAACGAATCTGATTTCCATCAGTCGTTCCGAAGCCTGAGAGGTGGACACCATATTGTTCCAACCTGCGAATGTCGCGCGGAATGGGAGATTGCCAGATACCCTCCCACCAAGCTGGAGGAAGAAGTGGTGTGTAAGCACACTGATTGGGCTGTCCCCGACAACTCAATGGCCCTGCAAATCGGTTCCATACATGCCCCCAACCCGCCTGAAGCTTCAAACCGTCTGCCAACAAATTACTCTGGAAGCTGCTTAGGAAAGAAAAACTTGAACCCGTAGAATTTTCCCCTGAAAGGACCAAGCAACTATAAGACACGGCACCATCGATGTGTAGAAGGGATGGTCCAAATATTGTTGCTAAATAAACAGTTGATGACGATAGTTCAGGAATGCAGGGAGCAATCTTACCCATACTGTTTGCTGCAGCTAGTGCAGCAATTAACTGCGCATAGGTAGTCCCAACACGCCTGTGAGCCCCAGAAACAACTGCATGTTTTGCACGAGATGCAAGAAAGAAATCCACAAAAGCAACCCATCTGGGTGCTGGGCCCCAATCTTTCACTCTAAAATCCAAATTTGGTGATGCTTTAATATCATGAGAGACATTACCTCTGAAAAGTTTATAATCAAAATGAAGAACCTGCATGAGGAAAAAGTGCAACCAGATCAGTACCTCTACCTACACACTAATAATTCAATCACGAAGGTTATTTATCACTAATATAGAATTGTTTTAATTTTGCTTGGGGCTACCAAGTTTATTACCTTAGCAAATTCACTTATATTTGGTGTAATGCTTTTTACAAAAGAGGGGGTATCAGATACTACAACCACCCTGGGTTCTGATCCCTGCTGTAAGTTGCGTGTTGCTCTTCTGAGGCAGTTCAATGCAGCCTGTGCAGCTCTCACAGGCCTGAAACACGGAACATGAGAACCAGCATCGCTAATCAGTTTAGATACCCACCAGATTCAAGTGTGTTTTCAAAGCACATGAGAACGAGATTTTATAAGTTGTGCAAGGATTTTCAATTCTAAAATTAGGCGGTTTTAAATTTGTAATAATTTTCAGTTACTTTGAAAAAGATTGTCAGCAAATTGGATATGATAAGTACTGTAATTTTTTCTCTAATACCTATTCATAAGCATCCGCATGTGCAATGTAATATCAGGGTCCCTACCACCACGAAGAACCCAATTAACTGCTTCCTCAATATCTCTTGAAGGAGAAATTAGAACTCTCATTAGTTCCCCAAATACATTAGGGCGAGATTGAAGAGATTCTGGCTTTCCAAATAACTCAGAAGCAGCATTTCTCATATCAGGATGTATGTTCTTCAAGAAAAATTGAGCAGCTACAGCATCCATGGTACCTTGATACCTGAAGTATTATAGCTGGTAATGATGAAATGGTAGCCATAAAAATATTAGGACAATTTATATCAACAGAGTTCCCAGTTTACCATATGATAGGTTGACGCCACTTCCTCCAATTGCTACAAAGAGCATTTGTTTTTGTTGGCTTCTTAAAATCATCAGTCCTCATTACCAGATGCCTTCCATAGATTTTTGCACAGCCATTTTGTCTCCATAGATGCTTCACTTCTCTCAAGGTAAAGGTGAGATTGGAATACAAAATGTAATCCCCAAAAGGATATTTACCCCTGAATAAAGAAATGTGAAAATATAAAAGAACACATTAAAAGCATGAGCATAACTGCAATGACATAGGAAATCATTAAAACATTTGCCAAGACAATTATCATGCTTTCCTAAAGGTAGTACACCCTGGGGAAAATGCATATAAAATGGAGTCACTTTTCTGATATTTACCTTTCTAATTTCTAAACCATTTATACAGTACGAATTTTATATGAGGATAAATCTAAAAAACTAGTTCCTGCTAACAAAGACAAATGTTGTACATATAAGTACATTTAAACACAAAACAGAAAGGATTGAGAAAGAACCAATATGCCTGGTTTGCCCAATGATCAGCGACCGGTTCAGCATTACACTTAAAGCTGCAGCAGTTAATATCTTATACATTTCATTTCCAAAACCGGCTTCAAATGCTTTCCCTATCACAAACCCATGTCTACAAAACTGCTCTGGAGGAAGCTCTCGAATTCTTGAAGCACCTGCAATTAGAAAATTTACATGTAATTTTCCTCATAGCTCTGACAAAACAGAACCAAAATTTCCAAAAGTCACCTTTTTTCTAGAGAAATTAATCTTATATATAATTATAGTAGGATTTTCCAAGACAGAATTTCAGGAAAATGGGAACTAAAATTCTGCAAAGTCTAATCCATAGTTTCCATAGGGTGATTACTTTAACCTCAAGAAATGAACTTCGATTTTTTTATTAATTTCTATCTTAAATTATTCTAATTTCAAATGCCAAAACAAATAAAATTTCAACTTATATCTTCAAAAAGAAATGAAAAATTAAACTTTTGATAATTTAACAGTGAAAATCCAGCTACATATAAATCAGAAGCAGCGAAAATATCGAAAATGAATTACCATTTACAGAAAAGTGACGTTGAATAATCCTTCGAACTCCAAGACTCTCCTTCAAGATCCTCCCTTTAAAATCCTTCCCCATTTCCTCCACCGTGGCACAACTCTTCGCCGGAGCTTTCTTCGGCGCCTCCGCCGATGGCAAAACGCCGTCTCCTTGAAACAACTGGTGCTCCAGCTTGCCTGGCAAATCCACCAACGCCACATTCGTCGTCGTCGTCGTCGGAGGTGCATCAATGGATCTTAGAGTCAGCAGCATCAGCCAGCTTATAAATGTAAAAGCTGCGCCGAGAATCAAAAACCACCGCACCAAAGCTCGCTTCTTCCTTGAACCGCCATACCTCATTTTTTTCCGATTTTTTTTTTTTGGGAATTTCTAGTGTCAAGTCTGGAGTGAAGCTTTCTTTGGATTTCTTCCTGCCTTTCAGTCTGGTTACGAGATTGCGTCGGTGGCCACCACCCAATTTATTTCTAAACAAAAAAAAAAATTATTTGGCGTGCCACGTAAGCATTATTTGTCATTTTAATTAAATATTGGCTAGATATGGAAAATAAACATTTAACTATTAAATTACTTAAAAATAAAAAATTTTGAGTAAATTTTGATATAACATTCTTTCTTTTTTTTTTAATTAATCTTCTATAAATTTAAATTATATTCTCATAAAAATGTTAGATGTTAATTTTTTTAATAAAATCATCAAAATATACTTAAATGTGAATAAATAATTTAAGTTTTGAATTAATAATAATTTAATAATTTTGTTGGGTGAAATTAACGGTATAATCTGTACTAGAAGCAGAACTTATTTACATGAAAATAATTACAAAAAACAAAATATTATATGAAAAAAAATTAAAATTATACGAGTAGAGATAGAGTTTAATAGAAATTCTTTATGATATACTCATTGATTACAAGAGATTAAAATTTGATACTTTGAATTTTTTTTGGCATCTATCCTTATAATTAAATCTACAGACATGATGAAGAGATAAACGAATAATTATCTGTTATTTTGACATTATTTTTTATAAATAAATGTAGAGTGATATAGAGATATTTACAAGATAAAAAGGATAATTATCTTATAGAAATTTCTACATATTTGTTCATTGAATTAATAAAAAAAACCTTAAGTGCATTATCTATTTTCTTTTTTTTGTTATTTACTATTATTTTGGAGAGAATATTGTTGATGGATAATCTTCTCTAATCCCAATTCTTTCCAAGCAAATCTGGGCAACATGTGGGCTAAACCCAAACGTGATGGAATCTCTCTACCCTAACTAAGCTTGATTTACTAATGAATAAGACAGTAATTAAGGGCTGCAAAGCAAGGAAACTAAAGCTTAATCTCATCAAGTTGTAGATAGGGCATACCGAGACCTATTTGAACTCTTTTCTTAGAGTTCTGTATCCACCACAAAGCATCTTTGTTTCGATTTCCAATGTTATCTTCAACGGTCGGTGTATGTATTTTCTTTTAAATCTTTAATTTTTATTTTAAAAAAACCTTTTTAAATACGAATGCCATCTTCGACTTAAATTACCAATCCAACTCCCATCTTGTGCATTATGCTAACTTATGGCAAACTCGTCCATTTTATTGTTAGGGTGAGAAAGAAGTAAGAATGGTAATACTTTGATTAATATTATTTTTAATTCAGTATTTTCCTTTAATACTTAAATATTTCAAATATTTGAAAACATTTTTCATTAAAATTTGTTGGCAAGTATCTAATTTCCAGACAAAAGAATAGTAAGTTTAGTCTTTTGGGGTTTAAAAACCCAAAACGTGAACGTGGGAAGCATGAAAAGAGTCAACCGTCAACCCTGCTAAAAATGGACAGAAACACACCAAAACAACTCTCTCCCAATCGAATTCCATAAGAATTTCCTGTCCGTACATTCCCTCCACTCCTCCACCACGACCGTTTCAATTTCGATTCGAGGAAGAACTCGAACAAGAGAAAAAAAATTTGCAAAAAAAAAAGAAAAAGAAAACGAATAATTCTCCTCCATCTTCGCATCTTTCTCCATCTTTTCTTCGAACCTTTCATCTTTGTTTCTTTTTCCTAAAACAATTTTTTTTTTTAATTCTTCTTTTAGAAGCTTTAGCCATGGAAAAGAATCATCAACCTGAAGTTTCTTCAAGTTTTAAGAAAGGAGACGAGGAAGAAAAGAGCTCCGGCGCCGACATTGTTTTGCCGGCGACGGAGTCACCTGAGTGTTCTAACGAGGAAAAGCCAGTTGCAGCTGAGGTAACCGAGGTAGAGATAGAGAAACCGGAGGAAATGAAGACCGGGGAAACTGAAATTGAATTGATTGAAAAGCCTGACGAGAAAGAAAATGAAGAAGGAGGGGACGAAGGAGAAGCTACTCTTCCACCTGAAATTGAATATAACCTGGAGACAGCTTCGGAAGATGTTGAACGTTTCTTGTCAAATCTCTGCACCCCTAAAGAGGAGGGCGAGGCGGGTTTAGAGATTCCAGAGTTTCTTGACAAGTATTTGGATCTTGTTGAAGAGAAAATATCCAAGCATGAGTCTGTTGAAACAAAAGTGAAAGGTTGTCTGCTTCCCGAGGATGATGCGTCGTTTCTTAAAGCTGTGAACCAGATATCAAAGCTGTATAAAGAATCTATCTGCAGGCTTCAAATTGGATTCCATCCAGGGTCCTTTGATCAATCGCATTGGTAAGATTCAGCAACGAGCTATGTCTCATTTGGAGGATGAGTTCAGGTCTCTCCTGGAAGATCCAAAACTCCGGGAACCTGACGGCAAGCAGGAGGGTGCAGATCATTGCCCTTTACCTGGTAACGATCAATCTGCCGAATCAAATGAGGAATCTAACTTTCCAGGGTATTTTCAGGAAGTTTTGGCCTACTTGACTAAAATCGCCAAGGAGATGATCTCAGGAGGATATGAATCCGAATCTGTGAGGTTTACCTGATGACTAGGAGGAATATAATTGAGGAGACCTTGAACAAGCTAGGATTCGAGAAGCTTAGTATGGATGAGGTTCAAAAGATGCAATGGGAAGCATTGGAAAGGGAGATCCCTACATGGATCAAGGCCTTCAAACAATGTGCCAATGTTTACTTTTCTGGCGAACGCAAGCTCGCTGAAACGATCTTCTCCGATCATCCTTCCTTGTCGGACAGCCTCTTCAGCAACCTTACACGCGGAGTGGTCATTCAACTTCTCAATTTCGCTGAAGCTGTTGCCATTAGCAAGCGTTCCACGGAGAAACTGTTCAAATTTCTTGACATGTACGAGACCTTGCGTGATAATCTTCCCTCTATTGATAGTTTATATCCTGAAGAATGCGCCAAAGAGCTCAGGGCAGAAACAACCACGGCTCGTTGTAGGATTGGCGAGATTGCGATTTGCATATTTTGTGATCTTGAGAATTCAATCAAGTCTGATACAGGGAAAACCCCAGTTCCTGGTGGGGCTGTTCATCCTTTGACTCGCTACACAATGATTATCTCAAATATGCATGTGAGTATAAGGCTACGTTAGAGCAAGTTTTCAAGGAGCATTCCAAGATCGAAAGAGCTGATTCAACAAGCAGGCCCCGGAATTATGAAGGCGACTCACAAAATTACAAGAATGATGAAAATAATCACTCCCCATTTGCTGGGCAGTTGATGAGAATCATGGATTTGCTGGATGCGAATCTGGAGGCAAAGTCCAAGCTTTACAAGGACGTTTCCTTGGGCAGCATTTTCATGATGAATAACGGACGTTACATGCTGCAGAAGATCAAAAGATCAGCGAGATCCATGAGGTGAGGGGGATACGTGGTGCCGCAAGAGATCATCTGATCTTAGGAACTACCATAAGAGTTATCAGAGAGAGACTTGGATGAAGCTTTTGGGTTGTTTAAGCCTTGAGGGATTGAATGTGAACGGGAAGGTGGTGAAACCGGTGCTGAAAGAGAGGTTCAAGAGCTTCAACGCCATGTTCGACGAAATTCACAAGACTCAAAGCTCGTGGGTGGTGAGCGATGAGCAGCTACAATCCGAGCTGAGGGTTTCCATATCAGCAGTGGTCATACCAGCATACAGATCATTCTTGGGAAGGTTCTCTGGAGTATTGGATCCTGGAAGACAAACAGAGAAGTACATAAAGTTCCAGCCTGAAGATATAGAGACTTACATTGATGAACTGTTTGATGGAAACCCTGTTTCCATGGCAAAGAGGAAAACATAAGCAGGCATGGCAAGGAGAAAGAAAAATTCAACCCTTTCTGTATGAAGAAAATGGTGGTGGAGATTTTGGGCAGTTTTCTCTTTTAGAGGGCAAAGCTGCTTTGATCGTTTCAAATTAGATGTGCCATTACAGTAAAGAATACATGCACTTTGATTAGCAGGTACACAAAACGCATTTCTCTCTTCTTTCCAAACCTGTGGAGCTGCTGGATTCAATTCCAAGGCATGCACCTTTTGAATTTAATTCGTGTAATTTATTTTTGGTTTGTTCTTGCATTTTCTTTTCCTCCTAAGTATTGTACGAACGACATGATTCTAATTGTAACCTTCGTGATTTTGGTCAGTGATTGGCTAACACAGAAAAAAACCATTTGCCTTGCTTCAAATTTCTACTTTGCCTCCTTTTGCAGCTATTTTCCACTGCTAATTGAAAGAAAGGAATATTGCCCCTGGATTGGAAGTTTCGCAATTCGCACTAACAGTTGAAAAAAACATATAAAATCTTTGGTCTTCTGATCCCTACATAAGATCATCATCATTATAATAATATTTAGTATACATGTCCATGATTGCATATGGAGACATGGTAGGAAGCTTAAATATTACAAAGATCTCCTATTATCAATTGATTTTAAGTTGAATATTTGTTTTAAAAATTTAATATAAAATCAAATCAAATGCTATTTTTATTTATTGGTGATTCATGCTTATATGATAAGTCTGTTATTGTAACGTATGAAGAAAGTATGCATTTTCTTTTGTTATTTACTCTTTTATCAACTTATTTCCATAGAAATTACAAAATGGGCTGATGAAGACAAAGTGACCAAATGGACCTAAACCATTCTTTCCTTTCATTTAAGCCCAACTTAAAATTTCTAAGTTGGTAGATCGAAAGTAAGAAATTTTGAATTATCGCTGGACACTTCATATCTTAATTGTCAGATTGATCAATCTATTTATTATTATATATTTTTATTAAAAAATATAAAAATAAAAATTATTAAAAAAATCATTGAATCGAAAATTTGAGCTGTGGGTTTGTGGAAGTAGACAAAAATTTAAAGTTTCCCAATCACATTCTAGCTAAGAAGTGTAATATAAATTGATAAATTTGTAAATTTATAGTGTTTTTCCATGTAATGTTACACTTCTATAATTCTCTTTGTTACTTTTAATAAATTATATTAAAGAAAAATCCCATCAACCAATGTAAAAAAATAATAGGATTAGGAAAATTATATATATTATAATTAAATAATTGATATTATGTAATTATCGAAGATTAATAAAAAAATTAGTATTTCTTCTGTCTTTAAATATTTGTTCATTTTTAACTTTAACTGAAATTTAGATAAAAACATTGATTTTGATATCTTTTATATTAAAATTCAAAATGTTTCTTATGATACAGACATTCAATGTTTTTAATATAAAAAATAGAAAAGAGAGGAAAAGTACTAAATTAACAATAATTATTTGAATAAGAGAATGCCATTATAAATAAATAATAATTGGTTAAATTATACAATTAATCTATGTATTTTAGTGAATTGGTAGATTTAATATTTATACAATAATTTATAAAAAATTAAATTTTTATACTTTTCAAGATTGACAATGTCAATCTAATATGTTAAAATTTTTTTGTTATCTATGCTAATATAGTGTTTTTTTTTTTTGCTTATATGTCGTTGAATATGATGACTTATTAATATTGACGTGATATTTTTGATCTATTGCATAATTTTTTTGAACTGTTGTAAACTATTGATCACAAAAATTCAATTTTTCTCTATTTCACAATACTCTTTTTTTTTTTAATTTTAGAAGCTCATTTGTATTTTTTATCTATTTCTTTTTCAATTCTGTTTAAAAATATTAATGACATTGAATAATTTCATGTTTGTACTTATAAAATCCATGCCAGTGCTTGATCAGGTCATATCAATACCACTATTGTATCATTTGTAAAATATGATATTATTATTATTATGTCATTATATTGAATGTCATACCAATAAAAAATATCACATTAATACAATAAAACATTATATTAGAGTAGATAACAAATAAAATTTTAACATATTGAATTGGCATTATCCAATTTGAAAAGTACATAAGCTTAATTTTAATTAATTATTTTATAAAAATTAAATCTACTACTTTATTAAAGTATAAGGATTAATTACGTAATTTGATTTTAATAATTAAAAAAATAAAAAGAAAGTTCAAAATATCGGAGTAATTCCAAAAAATCCAAAACTTAAAACACCGTACCATAATCCAAAGCGCACCTCAAAAGCCCAAAAAGAGGAAGTGCACTGCCCTGCACTCTCTCCCACTTCTCGTCCCCTCCAAGCAGAGAAGACTTTGTGCAGTTTTCTCACGCGTCCAGTTCGACCGAACATCCAATTCGTACAGTTAACCGCACCAACTCTCTGCAACAAAACAAAGAACCCTACTTTCACAACAAAACCCTAATCATCAAAACAGAAACTGATTTTGTTTTGTGGTTCCCCTAATTCCTCTCTCCATGACGACAGAAATCGACCAACTTCTTGTGCTCACCCGCCGTTGATTCCCGCCTGCGTCACCCGCATTAGTCTTTTGCAGGTTCTCTCTCCTTTTCTTCTCCTCCATTCTCTGCTTCTTTAGGGTTTTTCTTTTTTTTTTTTTGAAATTTTTATGCTGGCGCCACGAGGTTTTGCCCTCCAAGTTAACGCTTGTTAATTATTTTTCAACTATTTGATAATTAATTCGTGCTTGTAAGTTTGTTTGCATTATTTTTCCAAGAGCTTTAATTAAATACAATTAAATGCTTAATTAAATTTGTAGTTATTTGTAGCTCAGGGAGTTCTAGGGGACTCGCATACAAATTTTTCTTTTTTGTTTTTTTAAAAAGGGGGTTATTTGGCTGCTAGAAAGATGGGTTTTCCTTTTTTTGATTGCAGTCAATTGCAGTGATGGAGAATTGTTCTTTTCTTTTCTTTTTGTTAAGTATCATTATTCCATGATATTCCTTGACTAGTTGGGTGTGATCTGATAAAAGCAGGAGATATAAGAATAGTGTATTATTTTAACTGTAAAAAGATAAAACTGAATAATTTCCTATGAAAGTGGGGAAAAAGGGAGGAAATTTTGAATAATTTCAGGAATCAGGACCTGTTCAGTTGTGGAACACTGTCTAAGATTACTGCACTTTTATAGGGGGATAATTTCGATGAGTGTCTTCCTTTAAAATGTTGATGATATGGAACTTGCAGTTTAATATAGTAGTGCTAAATGCAAATAATTGTTTCTCTTTATCTTACAGCGCCTTATCTGAAGGTTGAATTTTGAAGGTCTGCCCTGTTTATCATTAGTTGCTCAGTGTTCAGTAGCAACTATGGGCAGTTCATTCAACCCACAAATTTTGGTGGAGAAGCTAGCCAAGCTCAATAACTCACAAGCGAGCATAGAGAGTATCCTTTCGAAAATTAATTGCAAATGATGTGCTTTGCCTATTTATGACAGTTCCTTTTTTTGGCTGGTTTCTCTTTCATTGTTGGGTCTGGGCTTTTCTCATGGTGTCATGCATAATAATTCAGCATGTGCTAATTTTAGTACTTCTCAAACATAATTTATTATTTATCAGCTTTTGTTAGTTTGATATTACTATCTAGTTGCTACGTAAGTTACAGAAAATTTCTTCATTGTTGTTTAAAATTAACTTTTGAAGTTTATTTTTGCATGAGTGTGTGTATGCCTGCTTCACTAAGACTTGCCATTAACACCTCTTATCTTTGTCTTTTCACTTTTCAATTGCAATCCTTTTTTTCTTTTGTGCAATCCTTAACTTGTCAAGCTTTATCACATTGGTGTATTTTCCATATGAATAAGGCAAAACAAGTTGTTGAAACTTGGGACAGACAATTTCATTGCTCCCCACGTGAGCAGAGATTGGCCTTTCTGTATCTAGCCAATGACATTTTGCAGAATAGCAGGCGTAAGGGTTCAGAATTTGTTGGTGAATTTTGGAAGGTTCTTCCTGATGCTCTCCGTGATGTGATTGAAATTGGGGATGAATTTGGAAGGAATGCTGCATTTCGTCTGGTATAGTCCTCTTAACTTTCCTACAGGTCTTGTTGCTTATGCTCTCAATTGGAATCTGTGTGAATGGTTGAATGTGTCTCACTGCCCCTTTCAATGTGTGTTATTTAGGGAATACTAAGGGGCTTGCAATGTTGTATATTTGAATGAACAGTGACCTAAAGTGACAGAAACAAAGTACTTAACTTTCTGTGGCACAAAAAAAAAAGAAGAAAAAACAACGTTGCTTAACTTTCTTGTCAAATGGAAGACCTGAGTGGTAGCTGTTAGGCTTAATTTGATGATTCTAAGTTGATAGTGGTGACATGGTGATATTATACTTCTATTGCCAATTTTATATCATGTAGCTCCTTACTTGTCTTATGCATGTTATTCTAGTTGTTTTGTCTATAACTAGAGATTGGCTAAATTTTAAACATCACCTGTAATACTTATCATTGGGTTTGGATGGGTTTAAAGTACTTGCACTCTTTTTTTAAAATGGTTGTAGTTAAATTGTCAAGGTCCATTTGTTGAACTGTTGTTTTAGTTTATCTATTTTCCTAAAGTCTAGATCACTGGCTTGGCATTTTTTTGGTGTCCAGCTTGTGACAATCAAAATTCTGTCTATGGCAGAGTCATTGGACAATGCTTGGTGTTTTATTTTCACTTTATTGCTATATTGGTTGTCAGGTTATTCTCTTGGTTTTTGTAAAATTTTCTTTCCATAAATATGTTTGCTTTAATTTTTTACTGCTATTCTGTTTCAAATGGTCATTTTCTAGTTGGCATGACACATCTCATTTCTTTTTACTGTTTGAAATGCAGATCAGTATATGGGAAGAGAGAAAAGTATTTGGTTCTCGGGGACAAATTCTTAAGGAAGAGCTTGTTGGCAGACAATCAGAAAATAATAGTAGTAGAAATGGCAGGCATGTAGGCCTCAAGCTGGTAAGATAAATTCCATGCTGAGTGCATTTTTCTGTTTTTTTGTGGCATTTGCATATTTGTGACATGGACTAATGTTATTTCTCCTTTATATTTATTCTAGCAGAAGCAGCCTGTTGGAAGTACAGTGGACAAAATAGTTTCAGCCTATCAAGTTGTTTATGGTAGCCAGATGGATGAAGATGTTATATTGAGCAAATGTAGGAATGCTATTAGCTGTATTGAGAAAGTAGATAAGGAAATTGGTACTGATATCAATTCAGGTATGACCTGCATTAGTCATCATAATATTGAAGCTGTACTTTTAGTTGCTTCAAGAGAAGTCACTACCTTCAACTACCGTTTACAATCCTTGTTGCAACATTTTTCTTTCTTTAAGAAAAGGATTGTTGTTCGATCAACATTGTTGACATCTTGAGACTAAATATTTCTCATTTGCACAATTGTTACCATGCAGACTTACATTTCTCACGACTTACAACACTACTTTTCTCAAATGTTGAATTTCTTTGAACAGGGCAGTTCCATGGATCTGCACTTGTGGAGGAGGTGCAGGGTCAGCATGCTGTATTGAGAGACTGTATTGAGCAGCTAACAGCTGCTGCATCATCGAGAGCTAGTCTCATCTCACATTTGAGAGAGGCCCTTCAGGAGCAGGTTACTTTGACTAATCCATTTACAAATATTGTTTGTGATTGTGTTAAAACAAAGCTGATTTACTTTTGTTATCAGGAATTCAAGCTGAAGCAAGTTCGTACACAACTTCAGGTTTGGCACTATACCTACCTGACTTTTTAAGTATACTTGTTGACGTTGTGAACTATTTGCTTCTATGTTTCTGGTCAAATACAGTTAACAATATTTTCACCCCTATATTTTGATCTTCTGCTTTCTGACTTTGTGTTATGTTGACTTTCTTTGAGTGTAGCATTATTTTTGTACATGCATGCATTAATTCTGACCATGTGCATGATGTTTACAGGCTGCACAGTCCCAATCGGAACAGGCAGATAATATCTGCAGACAGTTATTAAGTTGTGAGAATCCCCAGTTGGTGGCAGAGCAAAGTTCAAAGGAATCTCTCACATCCATTGCACCTCAGAGTTTTATTCCGGCGGCTACAGAGCAATCAGCTCCTGTGATGTATTCCCGGCAAGTGTCTTTTCCTGATAATTCTGGCCACACTGAGGAAGATCCTCGGAAATCTGCAGCTGCTGCAGTGGCAGCGAAGCTAACTGCATCAACATCCTCAGCCCAGATGCTTTCCTATGTCCTCTCTTCCCTTGCTTCTGAAGGTGTCATTGGCAATCCTACGAAAGAATCTTCTGGTGATTACCCTTCAGAGAAGAGGCCAAAGCTTGAGAATGACCAGCCTTACATACCATCTCAGAATCCCCAACAAGAACCAGTTTCACCATTTCCGCACCCTGAATCTCATCAGCACAATGTTGTGACCACCACCCAGCAGTTGACTCCAAATGAAGTGCCACCTCCTCCATCATCGTCCCCTCCACCACTGCCACCGCTGCCGCCAATGCCACCATATGCAGTGCCCCAGTACCTGCCAACTGCTGGATCAATAAATGGTGCGCCTTATAGCTATGGCATGACCCAGTCACAGCAGCCTTCCTTACCGGGTTATTCAGTGGTTGGGACTGCAATGACCGGCATCTCCCCATTTGCCTCATCGTCAACTAATTCTTACCAGAGCTTCCAAGGTTCCGAAGGTTTTTATAACCAGCCATCATCCATGCCGGCAGTTCCGATATCTCGGCAATAGAACTTTTGAGTTAGGAATTAGGATGCTTTCAAGTGAAATAGTTTTGTCAGATAACATAAGGCGTTCATTCAGAATCTAATCCTTGAGCACCAGAACTTTCTTGTTTGGGTGCCACCTAGTATACCTCGTGTGCACATTTTGTAAATGTTTTGTAACTTATTATATTTTTCCACTGTGTTTGAGTCTTTGGTAAAAACTATATATTGCATTGTTGAATATTGGATAAATAGAATTTAGTAGCTTGATTGGTTGCATGAATCATCACATGGTTGCTTTGGTAAAGATCTTTGAGCTTTCGCACTCTATGCATGGTATATGTTTGTATCCTAAGATATTTGGTTGGGGGTTGGTCAAGGCCTTGCAGTCCAGCGTCTAAGATTATGAGCAATCAAGTAATTGTCTAGAATTACGAATTATTGATTTAAAATTTTTTGAATTATTATTCATTTACCAAATCTTTAAAATATTAGTTTTAAAAATTTAAAGGGTAAATTCTACTTGAACTTTGTGGTATGTATTTTATTGTATGGTATAACATTCTTACTTTTATTTTCAAAAGGGATAAGAGTAGCAAATTTTCAATTAGTTTTTTTGTAAAACGACAATAAGAATAATTTTTCATAAATTTTTTTGTTTGTTTAATTAAAAGGGATTTGATTTTTTTTTTAATTTTTTAATGATTATTTTATCATTTTTTCATTGTCCAAACAAATCCATTGAGTATTTTATCGTAAATACAAAATATGACATATATATATATATATATGTTAAATCTCTAGATTCATGTGTGAATATTAAAAGGATTAATATTTATTACGTATCTATTTGGGTCATTGAAGTAACTATTGCTCATAGCGGAGAAACAAAAAATTCTTGATCAAGTTTAAATCTTCCTATTAGCACTTTCTCTATTGTTTGTGGCAGTTCTCAATGAGCAAATATCATTGGTTCATAAGGGAAAGGGGAATCTAACGTATATAATAAAATAAACCCTAATGCAAGCTTCTACTAGGTCAAGGCTTACACAATTGTCAAACCACATTGACTCAATTAGACATACAAAGTTCATCATTAACTAATCACTTTAATATTAATTATGCTGTAATGCTTCATCTCACAATAAGACTAAATTATCTAGGGGTGAGCAAAACCAATCCAAACCAATTATCCATCCAAACCAAATGCGATTTAAGTGAAATGATTCGGTCTAATTAATCTGTTGGATCAATTGATCCAATTGGTTTTTTGGTTAGTTCTCGGTTTTAAAATTTTTGAACCAATTTATCCAAAATATCAAACTAGTTTGTATATATATATATATATATATATATATAATATTTTGTATATATATTAAGAAAAATTATTAATAAACTTAATTAATAATATACTTAAAATATATTTAGATATGTACGTATACAAATCATAATCATAGTAATTTAATATTAGTTATATATATTTATTTAAAAAATCTGTATTAATATGAAATAACAAGTTATATATCTTAAATTATATAACTTATATGCTAATATTATAGTATATGATTGTAAATATCCTACATATTAATATGTTATAATTATTAAACTTTAGTAATGTTATGTAATATAAAACATTATGAATATATATAATTATTTAAATATGTTATATATACATATATTTAATTTATACATAAATATTACTTTAATTTATAATAAATTTTATTTATATGATTACACTTAATAACTTTATTAGTTATCACTTTAGATTTTATAACATATTATTTATAATTAGTTATTATTTATACAAATTTTGATATATATATGATTACACTTAATAACTTTATTAATTATCATCTTAGATTTTCTAACATATTATTTATAATTATTTATTATTTATACAAACTTCGATATAAAACATTTTAATATATAATTTGTATAATTAATTATATATATAAATATATACAATAAAGTAATATATTATACACACACATATATAATTTATATATAAGCACTGCTATAACTTATAATAAACTTTATTTAAATGATTACATTTAATAAGTTTGTTAGCTATCACCTTAGATTTTATAACATATCGTTTATAATTAGTTATTATTTATACAAATTTTGATATAAAACATTATAACATATAAGCTATATCATTAATTTCATATATATATAATTATAGATAAAGTTTATAAGTTTTAATATTATAACTTGCAATAAAGAAGTGATAAAATTTTGGTTTATTGGTCTAAAACCAAACCAACCAAATTAATTTTATAGTTGATCGATTTGATCTTTCTTTATATTTGGTTGGTTTTTTAAAAATGATTAGTCCATTTAGTCCTTAGGTATGGTGGATTAAACCATCCAATCCACCCATTTGCTTGTACCTAAAATTATCAATTTATTTTATTAAATCAAAATTAACAATTAATAGAAGCCCACATAATAGAAAATTCTAACATCCTTCCATTTAAGCAATATTAATTGGAGTTTATTTTGACTTTAAGAAACCACTGTAGAAAACAAGACTCCAAATTGATTGACTTAATTTTGATGTGACTATTATTTAAAAATATTTAGCCTTTAAAGACAACATCTTAATAATTTTGTCCAGCTGAAGCATCTAATACTGGATTATGGTAGCCATTGTGCCACTTAATAACAAAAGCTAATTCATAATTACTAGTATTAGTGATTCTATGGACAATGGATCTCAGTGTGGTTGTGTAACATGAAAATAGCACCCAAATGTGATCCAAAGTGTTATTTTCATTTTCAATCCTTTTACTGATTTCCTTAAACCTGATGAGAAATCTATTCAGCATTAACTACATGCTTGTATGTCTCTCACTTATCCTCGAGGTTCTTTGCTGGTATCATTTATGATATATACTAGTAAAATCACTCTTGAGATAGACACCAATCTCAAGATTTCATAAAGCATATGCAAAATAGCAATTTATTCTTTTCATATTCTCTGTTAATGGTGTCTACACTTTTGAGGTGAAGTGAATTTCGATTAAAACTTAAAGGACGGGGGTATTTTGCTTTGTTAAAAAACAAGTTCAAAATCAGACTTTAAATTTAAACATATGATTCTTATATGATTGACATATACTTTAGTATTGTTTCCAACTTTAAGCTTGGCCCCTCCCTCACTTGGTTTCCATTTGCTATTGAACGCCTACAGTGTAACAGTAACATGAACAGTTACACCACTATCAAACCACCACGAATTTGGTGGTACACTAACAAAATAGAATTCAAGACAAACTAGAGTTAGTGACTTACCCTCTTATTTATTCTTTTTCTCTAACTAAGACTTATACTTGAGGCACTCATTTTTCATGTGCCCTTTCTTCTTATAGGAAAACCACCTAACCTTTTTCCTTATGACAACTTTAGGACCTTCTACCCCTTTAGTCTAACCATTACCTTACTCTTTATTATCCTACTTAGGAGCATTTCTAGGTTTCCTAAATTCTTTTGGTAGTAAGGTTTGGAATTTGTGGTAAGAAAGACATTTTCACTCTTTTTTTTTCTTGAGTTTTTCTTTCTTAGAGACACTCTTAGAAATAAAATCATTATAGCTCCAAATCTCATTCACGGCATTGTAGGCAGTTTTGATTTGGGTAAACTCAGTAGGTACAGAATTAAGGGCATCATGGATAATGAATTCGTTAAAAAATGTGATATCATAAGAAGCCCATTTAGTTTAAATTTGAACCATTTCATGATAAAATACTTAACCCCTCTAACATTATCATATTTCTTTTGCAATATTAGTCTTTTACAACCCACTCAGTAGATGCTCAGAAATAGATCTCTTAATGGCTTGCAAACACATGCTATTTACTCTATCCCATCTAGCAAAGAACACGTTTTCCTCAATAGTGCTCTTCCAGTAAGGGTAGTGGGCTTATAAACACATAAGGCTATGTCTATTTCACTTATAACCAATATAAAAGACAAATCTTCATTCCAAATCTTAAAGTTAGACCCATCAAGAGTCTCAATAGTAGCTTGATTATTATTCACAACAAAGGTCATTCATCAAGACAAGAAATGCAACTATTAGTTAATTAGACAATAACAAAATAATTCGTAACAGTCTATAATGTGTTAAAAGAAAATAACAGAAGAGTACAAGTGCATGATCATGGACTCCTTTTTGGGCAGAGAATATAACATATTAATAGGTTCTCTCCATATAAAGCGAATATGAGAATATTCTAGCTTTCGAAAAGTCTATTCTCGTTGTGCAAATAAACCTTTTAGATTAATATACTCTCAATCATGATGCTTCATGTCTCATTCTAAATTACCCAAGCAATAACCTTTTTGTGTAGGTAATTGTACAAAGCAAGTTAAAGGCCATCCCGTAACCTTTTGCATAAGAAAATAATCTATTAATTTTAGCAAATGAGCCATTTTGGCAACTAAGTACTTACATCAATTAATAAAAATTTTCTTAAATCGGGAATTAATTATTTGTCCAAATTCCTTAATTTGCATACTCAACCCAATATATGCAATGGACCATTCTTGCTGAGATATTAAACTTGGGTGTATCTCATTTGGTCCCAAATAGTATTTGTTGCAATAAAACATAAGGTTTTGAACTTAAAAAATAAATGTAATACATTTTCTAAATTATGTACATATTTTCAATACATAGAGCCATTCAACTCAGACATATGCATATCATTTTTCTATCACGTGCTTTCCAAAAATATTTCATTAGAAATATTCAAAATAATTAATTAAATGTACATTAAAATAAATAAATATTAAACATGCATTAAAAATTCAAAAAAATAGTACAACATGTAGAGTTGGTTGAGTGGAGATGAATTACCAAAAAATATTTAAAAAATCATGGGCCTAATGTGCCCCATGTGTCCCACACTCCCCGCTGGAGAGTGAGCTTCGTTGTCTAATTGATTTTTCTATTTCTTCAACTTCCATTTTGGGCAAATCCGACCTAATTAGATCAAATTCGACCTATTTGGGTCTTTTATGTCAATTTCACTCTAATTCTTGCCTTTTCAAGTGTTTTTAATGAAATTGACCTTCTAAATCTTGATTAAGACTTTGTTTTACAATGCCCATGCATTAAAACTCATCAAAAACTACAAAATCAAAATTAATTAATCAAGAAAATTAATTTTGAAAGCCATTCTTCTCCTGTTTTAAGTTTTCTTTAGAATTGGTTGCAATATAATTATATTTTATAGAATTAAACCTAAATATCAACTCTATAACATATTTAAGTTG